AGGAGGCAGAATCTCGACCCAGCTCACCGCCAGAGGAGCACCGACCGAAGGGAGACGCCGGGAAGGAAGCTATAAAGCAAAGGAGGTTCCAGGTGGCCAGGATGGGCTCCTCAGGAGTAGGTGGCCTCTTTGGAGAGGAAAAAAACCTCCTCCTCTCAGGCAGACCAGTGGGCCAAATCCTGCAAACGAAATCCTTCCTCAGTGGAAGGCTTGCTGGACTACGGCTCACAGATTCTCCTCCTTTACCTCAGGCAGACCTGGACCAGCTTGACCCCGGACAGCTTTCCAGACATTGCCCTGGGATTCAGGTAGGAATGCCCCTGGTTAGGGGCTCCTCGGGCTAGACCGAATATTGGGTACATCTGCCTGCCCAAATTTCACCTTTAGAAGGTGTGGGGGAACCGGATCCTTTTAAAAACAAATGGGTTTCTATGACAATTCTAAGCCCTCCTCCACCCATAATTATTAGTTAGGCGAGTCAACAAGTAGTTTGTTACCATCTCATCAAACCAGGGACTGTCTCAGAAAATAACTCTTTATTTCACTATATTTCAAAGGCAATCAATAGTTGTTTTAATTACTTTTTAAACACTCATTGAAATACTACAAGCGGCTTACCTGGCACATAAAAGTAGTGAGACTTGCCCTCCTTGTAACTGAAATAGTAATTTTTAAAGTGATTAGGGTTACCTTGCAAAAGGCATGTAGTTCTGAAGCATCTTTATAACAACAAGTGTTATTTGGTGTGAACTTCCACAAACACATCCAGAGGGAAGCTACCGGGTCTATAGAGTCTGACCCTGTATCCACACATTGGGCTTTGCTGAATGTGTGGCACAGAATGAAAAGAATACAAGACAGATCAGCCATATTCTGAACTCTGGACGTTGATTTTCATCAGATTGATTGGTTCACATAAATATTTTAACCATGGTCAGTTCCAATCTGCCAATTACTGACCCCAGGAGATAGTAAAGCTCTTACCAAAAAATTAAATAAAAATGTGTAGTTGGAGCTAAAGGCAGAACTGATCTGTTTGTCTGGCTGGAAAAATCATTTCTGCTATACATAATAGGGGAGTCATGGATTGATGCACATAATGAGATAAAAAGCCATCTTTATTTAAGCCCCAAGAGATTAAATTGAACTTCTTAATGTATGCTTGTTAGCTTTGGAATCTGGTTTTGATGTTATTTTGCTCCAAAATGGGTACTCTGAGGTCAGAGACCAAGTGCCGAGGGAGTTTGAAGTATTTTCTTAATAGTTTCCAAGTGTTCAGGTTTCCAACACCACTATGATCGCGCACTATATTTGTGCAGCAAGAGAGTTTATTATTGTAAAGTAACATAGTTTTGCCCTAGTTCCTGCAAAAAAAGGGAGCGGATCTCGATCTCCCCTCACCCACCGACAAATTAGGGGGCTTCCTTGCTTGCGGGTTGACGCTCTGAGGCCCAGCCCATAGGCTTTCCCACACGGTTCATTGCTTGTACTGCAGGCTGATGCTCTGCGGTCTCAGCTGCTCATGTAGCAATTTATGCCAGTTACTTTCAGCAAGTCCTCTTATAAAAGTGTTCCCTTCAACCAAAGCCCTGTGCCTTGGATAATAGGTGTGTGATGGTTTCGGAAGACTGCCATCTCAGGGCTGAAAGTTGTACTGCAGCCTGTAGGGGGAAAATATAAAAAGTGATGGGGCTGTTGCCTTGGATGATTAAAGATGCTTGGGCAGAGGAAGACCTAGGTCAACCTTCCAGATGAGGCCTTTCTCAGGTGAGCCACATTTAGATGTCCGTCAGGTAGAGAGCCCAGAATGGAGAATTATGGGATTTGTAGTTCAATAAATAAATAATTAAAAAACCTATTCCTAGTGATAAGGTTCATGTCTATGCCACAAGACTGAAACATCCCAGTAAATTAGTGGTTCGACAGGTGACACCCACCACTACCAACCCACCTTAGGAAAAGCAGTTTGTAGCCATACATAAAGTTGTTTATTATGAGTTTACTAGATGGCTGTTGGAAAAAGCCTTTGCCATAATTTGAGGACAACCAGCTTCCCATAAATCTGATCGTGATGAAGGTGGGGAAGAAACTTGAAAAGTTACTTTTGAAAAGCAATTAGTTCCTGTTCCTTGCTATCCCTGTTTGAAAAGTAACTCATGGCCATTACTAGCTAGGTACGCTGTTGAAAAAGTAACTTGAAAGCATTTGCTGCTTATAACGTTCTTCTTCTCCTTATTCTTTATCCTTATGATCATGTAAGGCTCTCTTTAGACCCCCGGGAAACTCCTGAGAGGGGTCTCCCGTAAACAGAAGACACAATTTTTCAAAATAAACAGTTTATTTGCTATTTTGGCTTTATGTCGGTTTCAAAGGAACAGCTTGTTGAAAAAAAAAAAAGACACAGATCAAGAGTACATTCAGTACATGTTAGACCTGAACAATGAAGGTTAAGTGTTATGAAATAGAAGGCAAAACAGTCAAAAGGACCTGAATCGCAACAATATCAAAGTTACTGCCTATTAGAAGGAAGAAATATGTAGTAAATAGATTGCTCTCTCTCTCTCTCTCTCTTGTGCCTATTAGAAGGAAGAAACATGTAGTAAATAGATTGCTCTCTTTCTCTTCATTTTGACATTTAACGAGAAGTATAAAGCTACCATCCAGGGACAGGTCATTTTGACATTTAACAAGAAGTATAAAGCTACCATCCAGGGACAGGGAGTATAAGAAAAAGCCTTTGGAAACATACCCGCCTGTTCTGAAATGATTACAATAAGCCGTGTTTAGGCCCACGCAGGAGGGTAACGATCCTGCTAAAGCAAAAGAGGCCCGTGCAGTGTCTAGATGAGACACTTTTTGCTGGGATTCCTTCCTTGCCTTGTGCATCAGAGGTGAGGCAGAATCCTGCTGTCGTGGCTGAAATATCACCCCAGATCCTGGTACAGCCGTCAATGGCAATGGGCCTACTCTAGTCGCGACATCTTGGGTGTCGTCAGTGGCTGTTCGAGGAGGCCTGTTTGGCTCAACGGAACTTAGGGAGGAGGAGTTGGCTCACCAAATCCCCACGGATTCAATGGGCTTCCTCTAGTATGGTTTACTTTGCTAAGCTACAGGATTCGGGCCATTGTTTCTTGGGGTAACAATTTTCCTCTAGTGTAGTTTACTTTGCTATTCGGGCCATTGTTTCTTGGGGTAACAATCCGGGTGGCCTGCGAAACGTCGCCTTTCCGGTCATGAATCAGGCCAGTTTTCCCTCCTCTCACTTGGTACCTTCTGAATGGCCAGCCTGACAAGGACTGGTTTTGCTTTATTTTACTTGGACACCCCTTTTTCCGCCAGATCGTGGCCAAAACAGCTCATGTTGCAAACAGAAAAGGTGTCCTGTACATAAAATCCCACCCCAAACCTCTTTCTCCTTTTCCTTTCCCCCCTTCGGGAAGTCAGTATTTTACGATCACTGAGTATGTTCCAGTTACGTGGCACCATCTGGGGTGAATTCCAATCCTTACACGTTTCCCTGAAATAGGTTTGCTTTTCCCACACACACCCCTGCAAACTCAGAGCTTCCGCCTAAATCTCCTGACCCAGCACCACCTTTTTGCTTACGGATCGTGCCCTTCTGGCTACTTTGGCGACAGCCCGGAGGGAGAAATCTCAGGCAACGTGCCTTGACCCAGAGCGACAAGCTCCAGCAAAGTTAGCTCTTAGAAAAGGTAAATTCCTAAGACTGCAAGGCTTTAAAAATACCCTGGAGTTCCGTACATTCTCTGTTTCTTCTTTTGACTTCTATACCACCCCAGAGCACTTAAACCACTCTCTGGGTGTTTTACAACATCATTATGCAAACAATACTTCCAGCAAGCTGGGTACTCATTTTACCGGAGTAAAGGCGGAAACAACCTCAAGGCAACTACCTGAGCCTGTAGGGAATGAACACAGGTTGTGAAGAGAGGCTTAGCTGCAGTACTGCAGTTTAACCACGGTCCCACGGGGCTCAGTTTGCATGGCAATGACATTCATAAATATGGCAACGTATCTTCTGAAAGTTAACACCTTTTTGAAAGTTAAAGTATTTAGGGACAGATTGCAAGAGCTGGTTCCTGCGTCCGAGATCCAGATTGATGCAGCTAGTCCATCCTGACAGAGTTCATTGCTGGCCGGTTGGAGGCTAAGTGAGGAACTTGGGAATTCAGTGGGATGCTGAGATCATGTCAAAAGGGCTTTCTCAACCAGTGTTTCTTCAGAGGTTCTGGACTTGATTAATCATCACCATTGAACTGCAGAACTGGAAGGGACCCTATGGATCATCGAATCCAGCCTCATCAAGAAGGCACAGTGCAGGATTTGAGCTCCCAACCTACCTAAACCACTGAGCAGTGCAGCGATTCTAATAATCATCATCTTAGTAGAGCTGGAAGGGACCCTATGGATCTTCAAGTCCAGCCCCTGCAAAAAAGGGCACAGTGTGGGAATTGAACTCCCAACCTCCCTGCAAAAAAAGGCACAGTGTGGGATTTGAACTCACAACCTCTGGCTCCACAGCCAGTGAGCTATCCAGCAGTTCAGCCCCATAGAAGGCCTGATCGTTACCCATCCTTGCCTTCTGAAAATTGTGGGAAGACTAAAGGCTGAAAAACACAGTGATAAGGTCCTTACAGTGACACTAGTGTCTTCTGCTTTCAAACTAGGCATCGGAAGGGATCTCACTGAAGTTAATTTCACCTACACTCCCTTCCTTTATTGCATGTAATATGTATTTATTATCATTTACTTATTTAATTGATCGGTAACCCACTTACCAGACTTGGAAAAAAAAACAATGCAAGGCAGTTTGCAATAAAGAAAACAAATTGAAATCAGAGCTTGAAAGAAAGTAGTTACAAGTAGGGTTGCTACCTGGGACTAGTTACTTTTGGGAAATAAGTAATTTAACCAGTAGTTAAGCATATCAAGCAAAACAGAACAAAAGTGAAAAAATAAAGAAGACAAAAATGCTGTGGCATCTTAAAGACTAACTGCTGTATTTTAATATGAGCTTTTGTGGATCAAGTCCATTATTTCAGACTAGTTAAGCATAGTTACTTTTCAGTTTAACAAGTAGCACCTATGTTACCTGGGATGATGACTCATTATTTTCAAAAGGACATCTTAAAGTACATTTTTACAGCCTTTTTTCAGGTTTTATGCCATGCAAGTGGCAAGGGAAGTATTCTTTTCTTTTGCCCTCTGCATGTTTATAAATATTTTTCAGTGTGCAATGTCAGAATTAGGCACTAGAGGGCCCTAAAACCTTTTCCTGCCTGGAAGGACAATGAAACCAGTTAATAACAGGCAGTGTATTAAATTACTTGTGCAAAATCAGAGCAATGAAAACCACCTAGACCCGCTCCCTGCAGTCCTTCCATTGCCAGAGAAGTCGTCGTTCTTCAGGAACAGATTTTGTCTTCTAAACTGGCCAGTTTTTATAGGGGAGTTTGTATTTCTTGCCTTTTCAAGTGTGCTTTTAAGTTGTTCTACATAGTTTTAATTTAGAAATTTAACTATGCAAACATGGTTAACAGCATTTACACACTGTAATGTATTTTAGCTGTCCTAAACATTGGTCTTTTAAATGTTTTATAAGTTGCCTTGGGTTGCTTTATTGGAAGAAAAGCAAGATATAATGAACACATTTTGCATTTTAGTGTTGTAGCACTATAACACCCATTTAAGTGGCAGTGCACTGTTATTTTAGTTCAGACTAAAACACTGATTCTGGACTGTATTAACAGGATGATGACATCTAGCGTTATAGGGTTATAGTGCTATAACACTTACTGAATTGGCATTTCTCTAATATTTTAGTGCTGAGTGATCCAAAATGGTACAAAGTTTTGTATGACAATCTCAAACTCAGTGAGAGAAGGGATGAAGGAAACAAATGTTGAATACTGAGGCTTCACTCAACTGAATGAGCAGAACTATTAACTTTTCCCTGTCCGAACAGGAAGATTAAGAGTGAAAGATCTGTCCCTCCATGCTTTTGATTTTTTTTTAATGCCTGCAGAAGGCTAATGAGACTTAGACTAGTCTAGGTGATTAATCCAAGGATAGTCATGTTCATGCACATAAATGGATGCTACAGTTCATGAAAGATGAAAACATTATGAAACCAGGAAGAGCTAACTGTAACTCAGTGAGTTACCCTGTCCTCCATGTGGACAGATTTTTTTGTTTGTTTTGCAGCTATGATTCTATAAGGATTTTCAATAACAACCGATGTCTGACGGGGGCCATCTTCCAAAATATCTCGTCATACAACAGTTTCTGCTAAGAAGATGCCATTTTTCTCACTGCTTCCTAAGTGTATTCACCTTCCCCAAAGCATCCTTATTTGGACCCGAAGCAGATGGTGGCCTTCCAACTGGAATTCTGTTTCTGCCTTGGAACAATTCCAGCTTGGGCTATTGTTCCTTTGTGTGTGTGTGTGTGTGTGGGATCTACTCTTGGATCCCTAAAGTGCAGTCAAGAAATCCATAGATGCATGAGTGTCTTCAACAGCAAGGTCCTCTGGCTAGTTGTCCGAAGCCAGGGTTTTCCCCCTACGCGTTGTGATTACTCTCGTGGACCCCCAGAAGCTCTTCTGCTATGCTCAGGAGGCCGTTATCCTCCAAGGCAGCAATGAGTCTCTGTATGGTGGCCCTTTTGCCCTCCGAGTCGATAAACCTGCGGAGCAATTGGTATGCCTGTTCGTAGAGGCCCTCCCTCTCGTACTCCATGGCTAAGTTGTCGATGACGGGATCCCGGAGCGCGCGGCAGCCGGCCTGCAGGGACCGACCCACTTGTTTCCATTTCTTGGAGACGAGTTTGGCAAACTTCTGATGGTCCTGCGGTGTGATTCGTCTGTTGGCTTCCGAGAAGAAACAAAAGACAAAATGTCATTCAACGTGGCATCTTAGGCATACGCCGATGTGCTCAACTCTTCAGTCCTATCCTTGCACACTTGGCTGGAACTAGGAATACAGTGGTGCCTCGCTTGACGATGTTAATTC